TAACATAGGCAGAGGTCTGTGTTCTCTAAGTGCCCTTCAATTCGAAACATTTTGATATTAATTCCTAAATCAGATTTTGGTCGCAAATTTTACATTTTTGGAATGTCTCATTCTCGGAACCCATCAGCTGTATTCGGCGTCTGACTTCCGGCAGACGGCGATACAGCCTCTGTGGGCAGACCCCCGATTTTTTTGGCATTCCGGTTTGATTTGGGCGGAGGAGGCGAATTTCCATTTCCGACTTCCGTTTATATATAAGTAAATATGCTGAACCATTGCGATGGATTCAGAGTTTGCAGTGACGCCAATTATGTTCCGCCTCGTTAGTTCACCGCACAGACTGTTTAACGTGGCAACAACTGCAGCCAGCTCAAATGTGATCGGTCAATATCACGCGGACTACAGGGCTACCAGGGCTCTTCTGCTCTCTTTCCGGAGGAAAGATCTCCGGGGTTTGACTACAGACTCTACATTCACTGTTTAAAGTTTTTTTTTTCCTCCACAAAATCCTGTTTTAATTTCATAAAGTGTGCCAGAGACAAATAAAATTGAAAAGGATATTTAATCAAGATTAAAAAATATTACCAATCTAACAGAGCGTCTGATGTCAATTTCCGATGTGTTACATTTTTTGTTCATACTCAGAAAGTTTGGAGATTTGATGCTCAGCACTATTTCCTGTCTCAGGTCTCAGTGATTTTAACTGGTGAGCAAAGAGAGAAGTCAGCTGAATTTTTACTAGTGGTGGAGTCACAAAAACATGTAATTGGTCTACAGTTAAAAATCAATCATCTTCCCTGTGATAAACATTGCTACATGAGTTATCAGTAATTATTTTCTGTGTCTGTTTTGGCACATGGTTATAATAAAATGATCACTCTTACATATTGAGGAACTGATAAGCATTCAGCCAATAAGCACATTTTTGCATTCCACATTCGTGTGGCCACAAGGGTCCTTGTGACGTAAGCATAATCATCTGCCTATCTCCACAAAAGTCCATGTGGACAGTCAGCCTGCAGCCCAGTTTGTAGTCTGGTCATGCAGTCTTGTACAAAACAGGGTGGTGTCGTATGGTTAGAATAGTGACTTCTCCATCTCCTGACACAAGATTTATCACAACAACACTCTTTGCTAATTCACTAGTTAAAGTTGTGCATAGATGAACTTTCACCTGTGAGTCAGCCAGAACCAATCGGAGCTCAACTAGTAATAGAGACTATATTCTGAATTTCTCTGTTGTTCTGGCTCCAGTTGAAGTAAATGAGAGATGGATGGCACCTTGACTCTCAGCAGGTAGTTACAGGTCACTGTGTATATTAAGTGCATTGGTTGTTGTTGCCAAAGCAAGATGGGTCACCTAAGGGTCTTATCTGAGCCTCAGTATGCTGGGGCCTTCTCCTATGGCGTTCTTTCACTCGTTGCAATGTCCTTTGGCATGTCGTCAATGGGACACAACATCACATTTTGGTGTTTATTTCATTTCACTGAATTTACATATGCACGCAGACTGAAACTAAACAAAAGGCTACTTCAGGTTTTTTTTTTTCACTGCTCTGCAGCAGCTTTCTTGCATTGGTTTTCCTTCCCTTTTATTTGTCATCTGCCTCTGACAGGCTAATATTGGTTAAGACCCTCCCTCTTAGCGTTTAGCAACCAATCAACAAAGGACATCGAAATCTTTAAAAAAAAAATAAAAAAAAGGTTGAATTTCTACTGAAAATGTATTAATCTGTATTACTTGACTTCAGACCAGCTTCAGTGTTCGTGACGAGACCAGTTGATGTTTCTTTTATGCCAGCTACGAAATGTTCTCCATTACAAACCCTAATCAATATAATTATGAAGCAAGTGGATTATTTAATATAATTGTGGAGTAAGTCACCCTATAATAATTACATTCAGCCCCATGATAAATTATGTCTCATTGCTGTAGGTAATTAGTCTGAAAATGTTTCCAGTTATGGCTTTAGAGCCAAAAATGGATGTGAGTAATGTACAGAGCTGCTCACATGAGAAAGAGCTGTTTGTGCTGCCGTTACAGACGGAGGAGAAAATGGGCTGTAGCTTTCATCTGCTGGCCTGTATGTGTACCACGTGAAGTTAAAAATAAAAAAGACCCACAATTGAACTGCGTTTTGAAACTGAGCGGTGTCACAGACTGAATTGGCCTGTACTTGTTCACTATGTGTGTGTTCAGTGTTCTTGCCTTTGTGTGTAATCAGAAGAGTGTGATTAAGCGCAGTGGAGCCTCTGAGATGTGGGTCCCTGCTCTCTAAAAGGCTGAACTATGCCAGTGCTGCTGGGAGCGTTCCTCTGTAATAAGATCACCCAGAAAAGACATTTTCAAGAGGTTCAGTGTCAGATAAAAACACTGCTCTCTTTTTACACTATATGGCTGCCTGAGTACTTCTGGTCTCTGCTGTTTGTCATGGTTTGGGCTAAATATCGTAATTCCAATTAATGTAATGCCACAGCATCAAACATTTTAGACAATAATGATGTTTCTCTTTGTGGCAAGATTGGGGAAGACCCTTTCCTGTTTTAACATGACAATGACCCAGTGCACAAACAACCCAGTCGCCAGAATAAAGTTGGCATTGTGCATTTCTGCAAACCACAGATATGTTTTATTTTACACTTCATATGTAACAGATATGTTGAAACTTTATGTTTCTTTACATTTCAATTTTCCCTTTTTATGTTAAATAAATGGTTTCAAGTTTTAATTATAATTAAGGACTTGTCCGATCAAAAAAAAACCCTCTGTTTTTGTTCCTTGTAACTAATAATAGTATAGTAATAGTTGTTTAATACTGTATGCAGTTATACTGTGAAATCATGATATTTTCTGATATGGTTATTGTACCGTAGAAATGTCATACTGTTGAAATCCTAGGTGGGAAAACATTGTGGTTAATATATGGGTACGTACAGGCACAAAAACAACGTGTTTCTGGTCTGGAAAGATCATGTTTTGGCTTAAAATACCCAGTTTTGTCGCCACAATCTCAGCTTGAAATGTCCCAACATGTTAAAAAATATCTTTTGTTTGTTTGTTTGTTTGTTTTTTATTGGTCTGGAGTAGTAGTCTGTGGCTGTCTGCTGCTTGGCAGGGTTAGGGGTTAGGGCTGGGATTAGCCATCTCATCTATGTGTCACACCATCCACCACCCCCCCTTCTGATGAGAAACTCATCTCATGTTCATATAATCTGAACTACGTTACTATGATATGTTAGATTGAGCTTGCACAAAGCCAGGTCCATTAAGAAATGTTTTTCCCACTTTTGTGTGGAAGAACTTAACTGGCCTGCACAGAGTCCTGGGTTTTAACCTTTTGGATTTTACCTGTTGATAGCATCACTGAAACAAAAGTGATCTGGCATTATCTAAGTACTGCATATTCCCCACAGTAATTGTGTTTACATTCTTAGATTGACTTTGTGATACAACTTAAGGTCTGACTGGTTTCTTTAGTGAATATGACACTATTTAATGACAGTTGCTGACCATGTTTACGTACTTTGATTCGCCATGAGGGAGAATGATAATAAAATTTGCTGTGGGGTTGGCTTTGCTTGATGTGTGTTAGTAAAAGAAAATGGAGAAGATAACTGTGCTGTTTTTCAGCATGCTTCATTTTGTCTTTGCTCTCAACAGTCTCTACTGGCATCAGAAACAAGTTGACCAATTGCGTTTCTTCCGGTTTCCATGTGGTATCCACGTCATCACCATTTTTCAGAAGGGGTGCGTCAGCGACAGCAGCTTCATGCATAAGCTCTGCAGCTACACTGCAACTCCTTAACGCTCAAGTATAAAATAACTTAAATGCTGTTGTGGCCGAATTGAAGCAAATCCTGCATCCAGGTTCCAAAACCTTGTGGAAAGCCTTCCCAGAAATGTGTAGGCTATTGTGGCAGCAATTAATATCCATGGTTTTGGAGTGAGATGCACAGCAATCACATTTGAGTGAAACTCTTGGGTGTCCACATATTTCTGGCCATGAAGTGTATGTAATTTTAACCTCCATGCGGAGGGAAAACAACAAAGAAAGAAATGGGAAGACCAGCACATACTTCTTGAGAAAGCACCATGACTGTGTTAAACATAAAAAAAGCTAAAAAAGAAAGAAAAATAGAAGTCTCTGTTCTTCTTTCAACAAAGGCTTTTCTCTGAGTAGACATTAATTTTGGAATTAGCTGCAGGATTAAGGAACATACAGTGTCAGTTAATTGAAAAAAGGAGATTCTTCAGTATCAGGTTTCACCACAATGTTTTATTAGACCCCTTGAGGCCAACATGTGTGTTTTTGATACAAACTTAATACGCATGATGCCTGAGAGATGAAAAAAGTCCTCCCAAAAATTGGGATGGAAATAGAAGTGGGAGAAAGAGAGAGCCAGAGAGAGAAAGAAAGGAACCTTTACAAACAGAACGTACAGGGAAAAGGATTTTTCTGGCTCTTTGGTGGTCTTAAGCAGGGTCTCGCTGGATCTTGAACCCGGTGCAAAACACAACAGGGGGGGAAAATGAGTAAGGGGTTGAGGAGAGGGGGGTGAGTGGGGGGTCCTGGGCTTGGGGGGTTACACCACCAGAGTCCCACAATTCATCATCCTCTGGCACCGACGGGGGCTGTCTGGACAGATCGGTGGTGGGGAGCCGAAAGGGGGGATTGATGGCCAGCGAGACTCTGTGACCTCCCTTTTTCCCCGAGAGAGGAGATACTGTGTGTGTGTGTGTGTGTGTGTGTGTGTGTGTGTGTGTGTGTGTTAGAGAGAGAGAGCAATCATCACCCTCCATCCCTCGCATCCTGTTGAAGACATCAAGTTTGGACATTGAGTTGAATCCAGCATGTCTTCATACGAAGGCGACCCATCAGCTGGCCGCAGGACATCACATTAGGCATGACAGATAATTTGTTTTTCTTTCTTCCCTCTCTCTTTTTCCCTCCCCCTTGCTCCCTTTCTCCCTCTCTCTTTTCTATCTTTCTTTTTAACAGGACTACCTGCAGGGCGACAGCACCAAAGCATATCAGAGGTTGGGTTGGAAGCCGAAAGTGACTTTTGAGGTAAGTGTCACACACCTGGCACAGCTTGACAGGATGATGTGGTTGAAATCAATATGATGATATTAAGGAGGATATTTTGTCACATGCTTATGAACATGGAATGTTCGATGAAATATAATTTAGTCACAGAAAGCCAATGTCCAAAGATAAAGTACAAGAGAGTATGTCTTCATATGTATCTACAAATGTAGAAGGTGGGTGGGGTTAGCGGGGTATGTGGGTGGGATAGTGAGATAAAGGATGTGATATTTTTTTCTGTAGTGAGTGAGTGTAGCCTAGATTTTGTCACTAGACTACAGAGGCCCATGGATCCACACAAGAAGCAGCAGAAAACCAACAAGTTATCAGCATGTCAGAATACAGGCCTATTTTTATAGTCTTAGAGAGAGTAATCAAGTCTTATGTCGGCTGGATATGAATCTACTGTATTTTAAATGGGAAGGAATATAAAATCACTTCCTTTACTGCAAACGTTTTTTCAGCCAAACTTCATGGTGGATAACATGAAATTTAATAAAAATAATATTGTAGTAACATTGGAAATCATTTTCCAATATATTTCAAGATATAATATTGGTAAGCCACATTTTAAAAAATCAGCTGATGCTCTTAACTGTGTTTGACTGCACTGTATTACATTAGACAAAAGTCTCCACACTTGTAAAGCAAAGACTCAAATAACGATTTGTTTTTTAATTACATTTACTATGTGTAAGCACTTATATGGACAACAGAATTTAGTAAAAAAAAAATAACATGATAATATGCTGTAGTAACTAAATGGCTGCATATTGTTTAAAAAATGTTGGTTACTCTTAATGTGATGCTTGAGTTTTGATACTGATACCAGAAGTATGTTTTTTTTAAGTAAAAACATTGTCTTCTACAAAGAAAACAAAAAAAGGCAAAGTTCACAAATGTTAAATGCTTATAATAAACACAGGAAGCCAAACACAGAGTTTACATAAATAAAATACGGTATGAAACTGGCAGCATTTTGAGTGAACTCACTAACTGATGAAAGAATAAGCAAACAAGACTCCAGATCTGATCCGACACGAAATGCTAGTTAACCCCACAGTTTTTATATTCTGTGCAATGCACACATTTAGGTCGGTGGGTAAAAAAAATCTATATATATATGGAGGTCCAGTATCCAGCTTCCATCATCATTCAGTCTGAATTATACATTTCATCTGAAAGTCAGTAAATGATAATATTGCATTGTTGCTGATACTGAACAGAGTTGGCGTCTTCAGTAATAGCAGACCTAAATATAAAATGAGTAAAGACAAAGCATTTTGATTACAATCAGTTTTTAACTGTGTTTTAATAAGAGATTTGTTTTATGTAAGTTGAATAGTCAGAGTTCAGTTCTCTTCCTTTATGAAACTAAGTGTTAACATGTGATGATGGTGTCCCTCTGCAGGAGCTGGTGAAGGAGATGTTGGATTCAGACATCAAGCTAATGAAGGAAAACCCAAATGCCTGAGTCCATTTCAGTCCCATTTAGACACTCCTGCGTTCTACTGACAGTGGAAGGGAACATGTTGTATTTTTACCTTGATGACTTTTCCAAATGAAGTAATTGTGTCCTTTCTAATTTGTAATGAGGTTTGAATCAACCTATTATTGCCTTTGTGTTTGTGTCTATTTCCAGCAAAATGCCATTTTGATTTTGTTTTGTTATCACATAGCAGAGATGCCTTATATATTTCCACACTGATCATGTCATAATTTATATTGATGGCAATTTTTGAGGGTTTATTTATGTCTTTGTTTCTGTTGATTGTGACTGAATTGATTTCTGTCAGAGGATGAAATGGCAGATTATATTATACATAGAAGAATGAAGAATTTATCTTTACTGGAGAATAGGAATCAATGGGTTTATTAATGTCCTGACATATAGATGAAACAAATGGTTTGGTACAATAAAGATGGATCTTTTTTCATATTGTCCTCCTGTTTTTTAATGCTGCACAACCCCTGATAAATTACGTTAATATAAATATTAATTATTAGTGTGTGTGTGTGTGTGTGTGTGTGTGTGTGTGCGTGCGCGCGTGCGTGTGTTTGTGCGTGTGTGTGTGTGTGTGTGTGTGTGTTGCCCAGGTTGTGCAGAGGTCAGACTCTGCTCCTGTCTGCACTGACATTCCATGCATAGGTATTTGCGGGCACACTGCGCTCTTTTTTTTCGTCAGGAAGTGTGTTTTCTCCCCATGCTCGGAGTCCCACTGTCCCGCTCTCAAACGCCTCTTGTCTGTCCACACCGGCTGCTAATGGCGAGGGCGCAGTGAGCGTCTGGACCCAGAGCTGCTCTGGTCCTGATGATAGTCGTAAGTTATTTACGCTAAAACACTGAAAACACTTCCCATCGTACGGAAGTTATTTAAACCCACTGACACGTCTGCTTCCTTTTTAAAAAAGCAACATATTTTCCCTCCTCAGTCTGCTGTAAGTTCACACTCAGTACAAGAGTTAAGTCCTTAAACTGTTGTGAGGGAATAATTCAAACATTTTCTGTCAAGCAACGCGGTTTGCATGGCAGCACCTGAATCTAGAACATCTTTTAATATTTTTCTCTCTTTAAAATAAGTCCGTGACTGCAATTAAAAAATGCTATTTTTAGGAGTTTCCTTTATCTGTATGTCAAGTTCTCATTTTCTTACATCCCCCGACTTATTAATAATTAATAATAATATAATGTTAATTATATTTAATAACGTCTCTTTAGTCTTTCATCCGTCAAACGTCATGTGGCCTACAGCAGTGGATGTATTCAAAGTATTTTGGGGGATTTACTATCGGTGGAAGACGTAGGCTATTCAGATCTTAAGGAGAAATACCACAATGTAAAAACAAATGAATGTCCTGAATTCAAATCCTACATCAGCAAAATATCTACATTAAAAGTTGTCATGATGCAGCAGAATTTAAACTCATTTAATATTTGTTATTGATATAGCTATTTAAGTTTAAGTAGGCTAATATTTAAATCGTGCAGTTAATTTTAACCACATTGCATATTATTATGCCGTTTAATCTACAGCCCTGCATCATATTTATGAACTTTTCCAATATTTTATATCTAAAATCTTAATTTGTATAGTTATTAAAGTTGTCATACAAACAGAAGTTATAAAAAAAGACACTGTGTATAGGAGCAGAAAATATACTTATGACACGTATTTCAAAATTGTACTAAAGTACAGTACTTGAGTAAATGTACTGGGTTACTCTGTACCACTGGTGTTATTTTGGGGTAGAGCGGTTTGACATTGAACTTGTACGGGGGCCGGAGGGTCTCAGTGAGCGATGTGAGCAGGGTGGGATCGCCTCTGTGTGTTTCAGAGACAACACCTACAGGACATTTAGAGCTTTCTCTGTGATCGTCCTGGACAGCGCTGCGTCTGTGCGCACTCCGGATTGGAAACAGATGTTGCTCTGAGGTTGTTTGGACCCCTGAAACCGCGCTGAGAGCAGAAAACACACACTGAGCCCGGAGCCTCGCGCAGGTGCACCGCGTTCCGCTCAACAACAATTAGGCGAGCCTTGTGATCAGGTTTACTGTTGGCACTCAAAGAAAGTAGAGCTGATCTAGATTTGGACCGCGACTGTAAAGAAATAAAAGGCCTTCGTGCAGCTAAACAAACATTTTAAGGGGATGAAACGGTCAATTTAAGCTCATGATGCCGTAAGTCCCTGTAAGATAAGAATATTACTGCCTTTTTCTGTCAGACCTAATGCACAGTGAGTGACCTCAGGGAAACACAAGCTCGCAAATTAAAGCTGGAGGAGGCAGAAGAAAAGCTGCGCCAATTAAAAACCTGAAGTTAATATTGTGTTAACTGCTTGTGAGCACAATTTGACAGAGCTGTTTACTGTAATAAATCCTTTATGTCATAAAAACTAATCCCGAGGAAACAAATTCGATGTCCATATGTCGTTTGTGTTGTGTAATAATGTATTATTAATAAGCTAAATCATCATCATCATCATCATCATCATCATCATCACCATCACCATTGGTCCATGGCAACACCTGGTGTTTTCATTATTTGATATAATAGGCCTCAAATACACTGAGTATCATTTATCATATCAGTTTTCCTTTTTCAGAGGACACTGGATGCTGTTTGCTAGAAACCGAGTATAATTGGGATACCAAAGAAATACCAGCAATATAATTTACAACATTGTTGATATTACAGCCCTCCCAAATAAACATATGCCTAAAAGACAAATAAAAAGCTACTTGGCCTAACTAAAAGGAAATGGATGAACTTGTAAGGGGGGGGGGGGGGAATAAATGAATAACCCTGGCTGCAGATCTTTGTAAGAGATAAAAATATAGTCTGTAAGTTTTAATGTAAAGTTTTCTTTTTAAAGAATCCAAATCAAAGTATCACTGTTGAGTCAATCAGAGGGCATATTTATCATTTTATTTCACCTTACACGCACTAAATGGCGGCCATCATTCCTTTGAGGGTTTTGATGTGTAAACTGTATCAAGGGTTGAGCTCAGCGAGAGTGCGTGGATGTTTTCAGGACACCAACACATCAGGCTGAAAACACACAAAAGGCAAATCTCTGGTGCCAGAATGCTTTTGGATCAAACACAGAATCAATCAGTCATCGCCCCTACTCCTCCGAGACACAACAGACAGAGCTGAACACACACACACACACACACACACAGGACTGAAGAAGTGAAGAGTGTGTGAGTCTCACACTGAGGCCTCCATATTAGTTTTAAGCCCTTCAACCTGTAGCCCAGTATTCTTAGATGTCCTTTTTCTAAGGTTTTTATATAAAATACACATTTTAATTATTTAAATAAGCGTACAGGACATCACACGTAAGATTACATTTAATGTTTGGGGGGTTTCTTCCGACCTAAACAGAAATAAAAGTAAAATTATTTATCAGTGATCTCTATGTGATTTTTTAATATTTGCGTTTCGACAAAAAAAACGTTAAAAGTAAAATATAACAGAAATAATGTTGCTGTTAGCCTATGTATCAGATGAAAAAATACATTCAATTCAGCGGTGCAACGGTGAAAAAAGAAGCGTCTTAAAAATCTACTGTCTGCGCAAGAAAATAGTTCCTCCTCAGTGAATCCGCTGATACGTTTTCTGTAAATACTTCTATCTGCCAGACATTTGATACACTAGATGTGGGCTATCGGGTTGCTTTAAGACTCGCTATAACACGTCAGTAGGATATGTTAATAATACACTCGTCTTAATGCTCATTATAGTGTGAACACTGCGGTGAATTGACCGAATATGACATCTGCAGACACCTCCACAACTGTGATCCCTTGAGGCGATGTGTATTTGAAACCGAAGTTTATTAAAAGAACATTAAAATACCTCAAACACAACATGACACAATAATCTAATAAATCCTTAATTAGGTCTTTTGAATGCGCCGTTGGTGCGCTTTTTACGCGTGTTGGCAGCGCTTCCACTCTAGAGTCCTCCTCTCCTCCTCTGGGAGTCTTTTCATTCGCAGGCTGCAGGCCTATAAACTGCCACAACAATACAGCAGTGCACCGGCCCGAGCCCTGTAGTCCCAGTGAAGGTGGTTTAGATAAGGCAGTGACAGGCTCTGCTGCAGGCTTCTCGCCGTCCTTTCCTAAAGTGCATTGTTGACATCCTCTCCATTGACCTCCATCACCTCCTCCTGTCTTGTCCTTACAATGAAAAATGATTCTCAGCCGTGACTGCGTTTTCCTTCCTGACCCTCGAGTGCCGCATCAATCACAAAGACGTTTGCTTAGAGGTAATAATCTAGTTATTATTATCATCATTATTATTATCATTAGGCAGCTTTCTGTAATAGGTTATGATCTTAAATGTCATTGTGGAGCTCGCATTAAACCCCTCTGTGGAAGGTGCAGCAGTGGAGCCAAAAGGGCATTGTTTACGTTAGCTTTATGGGCTTGACTCATCTGACTGGGGGCCCTGGGGAGCGTTTGTGAGGTGGAATTTTTTTGTTGCACTGACTCATTAAAAATCTCATCCACACAGGCCTGAAACTGACAGTCACGTTTAAGCTTTCATCGCCTGCTCGGCCTTGCAAGGACTCACACCTGCACACACACACACACACTGCTCTGGTTCCAGGGTGTTTTTACTGTCTGCCAGAGAGTGAAAATGTCTCGTCAGCGCCTGCAGGCTGCAGGATCAGAGCAGAGGTGAAGAGGCTGAGACGCTGCAAGAGCTCAGATAAACACAAAACAAATTCCGGTTATTCTTAGTCAGCATTCAAATTGTCCATTTTTTTTATTTTTATCCATGTTGTTTTTATTGATATTATTATCATTGTTGTTATTTTATTTTGTATGTTTTGTTATTATTATTACTGCTATTTTTGAAGGTTGTCAGAATGGTTTTAATTTTAATTTCTTATAAATATTTACGTCACCTTTACCTTTATTATCGCGTGCGCAAAACCATTGAGAAGTTCAGTCTATTAAATGAGTCATAATGCAAACTTTTTGTTGTCATTCTTTATCTAGAATATTGTAAAAATATTGTAGAAATACAATAATCTTAATGATAATATCTAGATATTCAGTAGATATACACGCTGCCACGTGGATCTGCCTGCACGTATAAACATTTTCAAAAAGAGAGAAAGAAAAAGAAAGGCTTGATCTCCATAAGCATCTGTGTGTTTTGGAGGGGTCGCCGTACGTCATCAGGGAAGCACTGAAATAAATAAACATGTGACAGCAGCGATGTTTCAGTCAGTGAGAACAGGCCAGCGCTGCTGTGATTCTGGAGCCTGCAGGACACAAGACGCAGAGCAGGCTGCACCATCTCCCTCCACCTCAGACCACCATATCAATCAGACCGTCCCATCATGCATCAGCAGGACCTTCAGGGTCTGCTCGTGCTGCAAACGTACCTCTGAAGACACCTAAAAATAAATACAGCTG